GCTCTTGACAGAAACTGCTCTTTTTTCAAGGACAACTCTTATCAGAACTGTGGCTTGCCCAAGGTCATCCAGCCAGGTGCAAGTGGAGGAGTGGGGAATCAAACCTGGTTCTCCCAGATTAGAGTCCGCGCACTTAACCACTACACCAAACTGGCTCTCCCCAGATTTGGAATTGAGAATGACACGGTCTTCTTATTTCCAAAGTAGAATCTCAGGGAGACTCCATTGTTTGGGGGGGGGGGGTTTAGCTCCAATCTGGGCCCTTTTTAACCACAGGGTGCTGTGTTTGCCAGTATCCAAGGTGGCACACGGCAATTCCTAGTTAAATGGGGATTCAGGAGGAGGGGAACAGGGATCGGAACACAAACCGGGGAACCAGGGAAGAGAGAGAATTGCCAAAAGGTGAATACATAAGCAAGCCTTTTACCAGTGCTTTTAAGAGGACCAATACTCTTTAAGGCAGGGGTATCAAACATGTGGCCCGGGGGCTGGATGAGGCCCCCGGAGGGCTTCTATCAGGCCCGTGGTGAAACTGGCTGTCTTTCGCTTCTTCTTCCAGTTCTGCTGCTGCTGCGTCATCATAGGTTTGCAGCTTACAGATACACACCTGAACAGCATACTCAAGTTTGCAACAGCACAGACATTTTGATGCAAGAATTCAGAGCAAGAGGTGTCAGTTATCAGACACTGTTAAATAAACAAAATGTTGCAAGAGTGCTAAGCATGTTTTTAAGTTAAAAAAACCCTCTATGTTTGCGTCCTTTATAAAGTTTATACCTCCACTACCTGGCATTACATTTTATGACACACATGGCCCAGCCCAACAAGGTCTCATTTATGTCAGATCCGGCCCTCATAACAAGTGAGTCTGACACCCCTGCTTTAATACCACCGTTCACAAATTGTGCTTCCCCTGATTACCCAGCGAGCATCAGAGAAGATCTTGGTCTATACATCTGAGGCCTCCCTGTTCAGATACAGCCAGTGAAGGCCTGACAAAATGGCGCTTCCTTTTGCATTACCTGCCCAGTGAAACTGACGGGGTGATGCAAAAGCCTCGGTCAGTTTCATCAGTGGATTTAGGCAAGTAAGTTGTGGGGGTTTTTTTTAATTGCTGCTGGGCTCCCTAGAGGCATCCCACTGTTCATTGTGGGGAAAGGGGATGCTGAACAGCCCCTCAGGCCTGATTCAGCAAGGTGGTTCTCTTATAAAGGGGAGATCTACCAATAGCCTGTAGCCTAGAGAGCAAAACGGAGCCTCCGTGTTGCATGGCAGTCTACCTCTGAAAAGCACAAGATGCTAATGTCCCGGTTCAGGGATCCCGGGACTTAACCCACACCCCCCAGAGACCCCAACGACCACCAACTCACCCAGGGAACCTGCAGACCGAGGAGACCCCGCCTCGCCTCGCCCCATCAGCACTGCTGGGATACAACCCTGCCCGACCATGGAGCACGGAGCCATGGGGAGCAGCAGGAGAGGCCAACGGTGCCGGGGAAACCACACGAAACCCCACATGCCGGCAGCGGTCTTGGCGACCCTGGGCCACCAAGACCGCCGCAAGCGTAGCTACGACCACACCCCCGCCACGGGGAAGGCGTTGGAGCTTATTAAGGGGGGTAGGGCTGGGAGGAATGAGAGGGAGGTGGGGACAGGAGACGGCGCTGGGTGAGGGAGCTGGGTATAAAGGAGAGGGAACCGAAGGGGGTGGGGAGGTAGGACGTGCGCGGAACCATTGGATGCAGAGAGAGCAAGAAGGAGTTCAGAGAGGACGCTGAGAGGCTGGGGAACCGAAGCACGGAGGTAGGGGAACCTACGGAGTGGGGTTCAACTCTGTCCCCTACCCATCTGAGGCCCCAAAGCTCCCCCTCTTCTTTACAAGCCTCGGGCCATCGGACCTCCCCGTCACGGCCCTGGAGCCCAGGGCGGGCTTGACAGCTAAAGCCAATGAATAGGAGAAAACTTTGGCTTCCCAGCCTGGATTGTCAGCTGGCCTCTGTTGGAGACAGAACGCTGAGTTCTGTGGACATTTGGTCTGATCCAGCCGGGGACCAAAGCTGGGAGTGGGGGTCCTAGTCACAGGTAAGGCGGGCTCTCTCCTGCCCCTCCCTGCCATGCTCTCTCCTGCCCCTCCCTGCCATGCCACGGTATGGTCTCACGCCAACTCTCACCTCCTGCAGAGCCACAGTTTGGAGACAGCTGCCCATTGGAGCAGGTACACATGTTTGGCCGCGAACAGAATCCCTCGCCGCAAGAGTTCCGGCAAATTGCTGTCAGGGGAGAAGAAGCGGAGAGAAGGAATGAGACACAGCAGGGCAGGAGAACCTCCCTGAACCTCCTGCCCCATATCTTTTCAACCAACGGCTGAGAGCCAGTGAGGTCACAAATTTAGATTAGTATCAGGGAGTCCCGGGTTCGAATCTCAGCTCAGTTATGAAACTTGGAGACTCTCTCTCTCAGCCTAGCCTACCTCCGAGGGCTGTGACAACGGAAGAAGAAGAAAGAAAAGGGAGGAGGAAGAAGACAATGAGGAGGAAGAGAAGGAGGAGGATTTATATCCCTCTCTTCACTCAGAGACTCGGAGCAGCTTACAATCTGCTTCCCTTCCTCTCCCCACAACAGACACCCTGGAAGGTAGGTGGTGCTGAGAGAGCTCCGAAAGAACTGCTTTTGAAAGAACAGCTCTGAGAGAACTGTGACTGGCCCAAGGTCACCCAGCTGGCTGCATGTGGAGGAGGAGTGGGGAATCAGGCCTGGTTCTCCAGATTAGAGTCCGCCACTCTGCACCACTACATCAAACTGGATGAGAGAAAAACTACAAGGGCAGAATAAAATTTAACCAGTAGATGGGTAATCTTTGCAAGCACAGAGTTTGTTCACATTTCAGAATGGTTCCGGATTTCATGGGCACCTTCTTTAGATTTGAACGCTCCCCTTTTGAACACGGGCTCTGTCTCTTCAGAATGGAATTGCAGCAAACCTTTCTTCCCCTGAGCATGCCAACAAGATTTGAAAGCAGGGGTCATTTCCTGCAGGACCGCACAGGAGTGGAGCTCCAGCAGCAAGGAGCCCAGGGGGCAGGCACATGCCCCGCCCCCTGCTCCCAGCACTCCTCAGTTGGGCCACGAGGAGCAAGAAGCAGCCAGGTAAGTTGCAGAGGCCCCACCCCCCCCCGCCTGCCTTCAGATACAAGCTCTCCCTCCTCTGTGAAGGCAGATTTGCGCGTTCCCCCCCCCCATAGCTAGCAATCCCAAACAGTCCAGTGGCACCTTTAAGACCAAGTTTTATTCCGGTACAAGCTCTCCCGCCTCTGTGAGGGCAGATCTGCACGTCCCCATCCCCCCCAATAGCTAGCAATCCAAAACAGTCCAGAGCGTGTCCAGAGCGTCAAACCCCCCCCCCCAAGTCGCTGACAAGCCGATGTCACTTCCACTTCCGGGGGCTCTACTGGTAGCAGGAGCTCCTTTGCATATTAGCTCTGGATTTTGGGCAAAACTCTATGGTTTGATGCTGATTTTACCGTAGAGTTTTGCCCAAAATCCAGAGCGTCAAACACACACACACCGACGTTGCCAATATGCTGACGTCCCCTCTGAGTGATGCAGGGACATCGCGTGCCATGTCACTGTTTTGGGGAGGAACGGGGGGAGGGGGGTGACGTCACATCTGAGTGATGCAGGCACGTCGGGAGGAACGGGGTGTGTGTGTGTGATGTCATTTCCCACTCCCGGAAACGTCCTCGCATCCTTCCACAACAGGTGAAAGGGACCTGGCATCAGTGATGGTTAGACCAGTGCTTCGTTGTCGTGGCCCTTTCTTACACGCCCAGGGAAATGCTGATTGCCACTTTGGGGCCAGGAAGCCATTTTTCTCCAGGCCAGTTTGGCCGGGGATCCTGGAGGTTTTTTGTCATCTTCGGGGCGTGGAACAGGAGTCACTGGGAGTGGGGGGGTGGGGGGAGGTTATTTGTGAATCTCCTGCATTGCGCAGGGGGTTGGACTAGATGACCCTGGAGGTCCCTAACCCCTGAATCACACCCGGGCAGCATGGCAACAGTGACCTGACAAGGGTCCATATCTAGGTCAACACCTAATGTGAAGTTCGGTCCTTGGACAATCGGCTGTGGCTTTCAGACATGGAAGGCTGGATCCAAAGAGGAAAAGGAGCTGCTGGTGTCGTTCTTCAAACACACGCTCAGGTCACTGGTAATCTCGGCAGCATGTGTGAGAAGCGGCAGGAGGTCTGACACAGATACCGAGAATATCTTCGGCTTCAGTTCTGCAATCATTTGAGAACACTAAGTGGAGAAGATGCTTCCCACGTGTGGAAGGGCACCTTTCAGATCCAACACGTCAGTCGCCAAGTTAAGATTTGCAGCGATCACAAAGTGGAGACCCAGCAGATCTTCGCGATCTCCTGGGCCCTTCCCGTAACTGGCAAAGGAAACACTAGTGGTAACACACGGTAAATTTGGGGGATAAGAAGTTCCAGTAGCAACAGGAAACCATTACAGATTTGCTGTGGTCTGCTTTTCCCATCACAAAATCTGGGTTTTCTTTACGAGCCCACTGAGCTCTAGCAGGTCTTCCAGGAAAGCTGGAATCCCAGCCAGCTTCTTGGCAGAAATGAATGAACCATCAAGACATCTAACGGTGTTTTTCAGCGGAGTGCTTTATGGCAGCTTGACAGCAGTTTTGCAGCATTTCCAGCAAGAGGCACACTGCTTTCAGGCAGCAGCCAATAGCTGCTTCATTTGAAGGACTCAGGAGTGAGTTTGGCCTGAAGGTGGAAAGTCATTATGTGATCTGTGCATTCTAATTTTTGCCTTGGATCACCCAGATTTTGTAAATCAACAAGCACCAACATTTCTCATTTTGGCTGGCCTGTTATCATAACACTAGAAGAACAATCCACCCCACCTTTCCTTGAGCGGTGCACCCCCCTGCTCATACTCACGGACAATGCATTGGTTCCCGCCAGGAAGAGTCTTCCACCCAGGACAGCAGTAGGAGTGGAACCGAGACCCGCAAACGTTTGGCCTGAAAGTCAATGAGCAAAAGAAGAAGAAGAAGAGGTTGGATTTATACCCCGCCCTTCACTACCTGAAGGAGTCTCAGAGTGACTTACAGTCTCCTTTCCCTTCCCCCACCCACAACAGACAACCTGTGAGGTTGGTGAGACTGAAGCTCTTTCGAGAACTGCTCTCGAGAGAACAGCTCTGAGAAAACTTGTGAATGACTCAAGGTCACACCAGCAGCTGAATATGGAGGCATGGGGAATCAAACCCGGTTCTCCCAGATTAGAGTCTGCACTCCTAACCACTACACCAAACTGACTCTCAGACAAAGACAGAGAAAAATGAATCCCGCCAACACGGAGGAGGCCTTTCTCCAAGAAAAGTCTTGGTTGGGACACCAAATAGCAACAAACGTCTAAATCTGCTTTTTAATCAGTCCTTGGTTCATTCAGTCTAGTACTGCTTACTCCTCCTGGCAGCACCTCTCTGAGTCAGGGTTGCCAAACTCCAGGTGGGACCCAGAGATCCTCTGGAATTAGAAAAACAGTTGGTTTTCATACTCCACTTTTCTCTACCTTAAGGAGTTTCAAAGCGGCTTACGCTCTCCTTCCCTTCCTCTCCTCACAAGAGGCACCTTGTGAGGCATGTGGGGCTGAGAGGCGTCTGAGAGAAATGTGACTGCCCCAAGGTCCCTTGGCAGGCTTCATGTGGAGGAGTGAGAAATCAAAGCTGGCGGTTCTCCAGATTACAACTGATCTCTAAACTAGACAGATCAGTTCCCCTGGTTAAAATGGCTGCTTTGGGGGACGCAATCTGTGGCTTTATACTAAGCTGGCATCAGCATGTCCTGAGGTGGGGTGGCTGCTGGGGCCCAAGTCTTCTGGCAGGGCTCACCATCACTGACCATGGTGCCTCCGCCCAGGTCCATAGCTACGGTGGGGCTTTCTTAAAGGCACAGCCCCACAAAAATTTCTCTGCAAATGCTTTATTCAATCATTTTAAAACATGTTTTAAAAGGCGTGTACTCCTTTAAGCAGAGTGGGGTGCTGTAGTTGACCAATTCCTGCACTGAGCAAGGGGGTTGGAGTAGGTGACCTCTAGGACCCCTGCTAACTCTGTGTCAAGAAACTGGTCTCCTTTAAGAGAGTTTTTCTACCTACGTGTTAGCTTTCTTGACTACAGAAGTCATCACCCTCACCTGCCGGCTTGTTATCAGAATTGTTGCTTAGGCTGGCAGAAGTGATTAACTTGCAGCATCTGAGAACTGTCATCTAAAGTGGTTGACAGCTTGCAATGTAGAGATCTCTCCTGATAACAGCTTTCTATTGGCTAAATGGTTAAGAACACCTATGTAGAATAGACAGCTTGAGAAGACTCAGAGAGAGAAGAGACTGCCTCGCAGCTCTCCTCAACTTCTACCCGGCTGCTATGCTTCCGAAGACTCTGCTCATCAGGAACGCCAGTTGAGATGCCAGAGCTATGTGGCTGATAGGAAAAGCAGTGAGTAGAATAGCCAGCTAGGTTTTTTGTTTTGGTTTGTATTCCTTTTGGAACTGTATACATTCTTTATCCTATCTATGTGCTGTTTGTCCTTTGTTTTTGTAAATAAAGTTTTATGTGGTTTTATACAAATTGGAGTGAGTTTACTGGCCAAACCCAGAGAAGTATTTCCAGTGCCACGCCTACCATCTACCAGAAAATTTATTCTCCCTTCCTCCCCCCTCCCACTTTCTCAGCCTGCTATTGTCACACTCTGGGGCTAACATTTGCAGAAGCCTCTATGCTTTGATTTTAAAAGGCTTGATTCCACAGTAGCTGAGACCTAAGCAGTGTTCCCTCTAAGCTGAGTTAGTGTGAGCTGGCTCACAGTTTTTTAGCCTCTGGCTCACACATTTTTGTCTTAGCTCAGAAAGGATGGCTCCAGAGCAAACTAATTGATGCACTAGCCAAATTGCTCACTCACAACTTTAATGCCTGTAGCTCACAAAGTAGAATTTTTGCTCACAAGACTCCACAGCTTAGAGGGAGCATTGGTCCTAATCCTCAGAATTCTGGCTTTTCTTTCAGCCCCACCAGAAAAATATTTGCCCCACAAGCCACAAAATCCTCGCTACGGGCCTGCCTCCACCCTGCTGCCCACCCACCCATCCACCACTCACTTGCTTGCAAGCACTCTGCCATCCACACTCCCAGCGATACGCACTGCCTTCACTTTGTCAGGGAACTGGCATGTAGATGGTGCACGCATCTGTGACTGCAGGTGGTGAGAGGGCTTGTGGAGGGATGGGGAGAGATTCACTGGCATGTGGGGGTCAATGGGTGGGAAGGGAGGCATGAGAGGGGGGTCCGGTGGTAGGCAGAGGAGAGGAGAGAGCCCTGGAGACTCTCTGCCCAGGCCCCCCCAAATATGGTCTTATACTCCACTGAGATCCCTCCCCTCCCCAAATCCCACCTCCTGAGGCTCCACCCCCATATCTCTAGGAATTTCCCAACCTGGTGTTGACAACCCTACTCCAAGTTCTTCAGAAGACACAGAGAGAGAGATCATAGAACCATAGAGTTGGAAGGGACCTCCAGGGTCATCTAGTCCAACCTCCTTCGCAATGCAGAAAATTCACGAATACCAACACACACACACACACACATAGTGACAGCTGTTCCACGCCCAGAAGATGACAAAAAACCTCCAGCCATACTGGCATGGAGAAAAATTGCTTCCCGACCCCAAAGTGGTGATCGGCGTTTCCCTGGGTGTGTAAGAAATGGCCACAAGAACTAAGCACTGAGGTAGCCCTCCCTGCCCTCATGATCTGCCTAAGTTCAGAGAATCCGCATGGCTGTCCGAAGGACACCTAGCCTCTGTTTGAAAACCTCCAAAGCAGGAGAGCCCACCACCTCCCGAGGACGCCTGTTCCACTGAGTAACCGCTCTAACTGTCAGGAAGACTCCGCACCATCCTCTATAGGACAGCCCTTCAAGTACTTGAAGACAGGGCCGGCTCGCTCACTAGGTGAACTAGGCGTTTGCCTAGAGTGGGCCGGCCCTTAGGGGCGCCAAACTGCAACCGGCCCCCCCACCAAAAGCCCCCCTACCCAGCACAGCCCATTCCTGTGACCTGCCAGCCCGTGGGAGGCTCCACCGGCAGGGGCCGGGAAAGGCGCTGGGCAGCTGGGTGAGGCAGCAGCCGGGCAAATTGGGTCAGTCGGTGTGGAAATCCTCTGGCCACCAGCGGCAGCACCCAAGTGAGGGGGGCAAAGCACATGTGGAGGGGGGCGCACGGGGGGCGCCAGAAGGGATCCTTGCCTACGGTGCAAAATAAGCTGGGGCCGGCCCTGCTTGAAGATGGTTCTCCTACCACCTCTCAGTCATCCCCTCTCCAGGCTAAACTGGATCTTACCCAGACCTCCCACAAGAGCTTCCCAATGGACACCAACGCTTCAGAGAAAGGTTTTTCCCAGTGAGGGTTGCCAGCTGAGCTGTGGCAACCAGTGGGAGCCTTGGCAGGACTGGAAGCAACGCCTGATGGCGACAAATGATGTTAGGACATCACTTCCAGTTTGCACCCATTATGCTCTAGGAATACACTCTATGATTTCTACCTAGAGCTTTGTCACGTTGTTTCCAGGTACGGACTGGAAGTGACATCATCACGTGGTGTGTCACTGTGCAACGATGCTCCCCGTGCCAGGCTCCTGCTGGACCGAAGAGGCCCAGTGGGTCATGGAGCTCAGGGACCGGTGCTTGGCGGCTGCCCCGGGGAAGATCGTGACCCTCTCCACAGCACCTGCTACCTGTGCTCCTTGAACTGGAGATGCCGGGGATTGAACTTGGGACCTTCTGCATGCAAAGCAGATGCCTGAATGCTCAGCAAACTCCCGTCCATTAAAATGTGACCGCTGAGTCTAGATTTCTTGCTCATGAAATGTTAAGGCTGCCTTGTGCAGAACAGGTCAACCAGTCCATGCAGCCCAGTGTTAGACAGAATGACCCTCTCCAGAGTCTTCTGCAGATAAATGTCTTTCCCACACCTGCAGCCGGAGATCCTAGAACTGAATAGAGAAAGTGGGGGCTTCTACATGGCAAAGCAGGTATTTAACCACTGGCCTTCTGGGTAAAAGCAGAGAATTACTGGTGCGGATTTTTGCTCATGAACATCTGAAGCTGTCTTCCATTGAACTGGCAAACAATGAGATGGTCACAGTCAAAAAGAGCTTACAACAGATGAATAATACAACTGTGATAAAGAAGCATTCACGATTTTTTATCTAAAGATGTTATTAAAAGGTAAAGGTAAAGGTTCCCTTGCTCGAAAGCCAGTCGAGTCCGACTCTAGGATTGCGGTGCTCATCTCCGTTTCAAAGCCGAAGAGCCAGCACTGTCCGAAGACGTTTCCGTGGTCATGTGGCCGGCATGACTAAACACCAAGGCGCATGGAACACTGTTACCTTCCCACCGAAGTGGTACCTATTGATCTACTTGCAATTTCTTGCTTTCAAACTGCTAGGTTGGCAGGAGCTGGAACTAGAGACGGGAGCTCACTCTGTCATGCGGCACCCGGGTCTCGAACTGCTGAACTACCGACTTTCCACAGCCTGCAGTTCAGCGTCTTCACCACTTGAGCCACCGCAGCTCCAAAGATGTTATACAAAACATTAATTTCTGAAGTGATTATTACAGAAAATAATACAATAGAAACAGAAGCGAAAAGACGGGGTCTCCGGATTGGTGCTGTCATTTCGACAATATGTCTTCCTCTGACCAGAAATTGTGCCAATCAATGCGAAGTATGGAGTTCCTCAAGCAACAAAAAGCTGCATATTCATGAATTTTCTAACTCTTATGGCTTGAGAAGCAACATCTCTAACTCTAGAAAAAAGTTCTCCCAAAAGGCCTGAAGTCCAGCTGGTGCAAAACCCTACCACTCACTGATTAATGTCCTGTATGGTTCCAGGCTCCATTAACAATGTTGCTTTTGGCCTATAAATCCCCTCATGACAGCACTGGGTCTATAAGTGAGGCCTG